CCCCAAAACCCCAAAACCCCAAAACCCCAAAACCCCACTTTATAAAATTGATGTATTTAAAGAAGAAGTAATTGATTAAAATTTATTAAGGATGTTCAATCAATCATGGATATTATATATTTGCCGCAGATAATATTAATTTTGTACTATTATAAAATCTTAAAAGAATATACTAAAACAAAGTGATTTAAATAAATATGGATAAGTTTAGTCTACTTTAGCCAGAAATTTCAAATTCAATGCTATAATCTACAAATAACAATATAAATGGAGAGGATAATACTCTCATCCCTTCAGACACTACTTGGAATTAAGAGTTGCTAGATAAATATGCTTCTTACTTTCCATTTAACTTGAAGTTTTCTCAGTTAAATTAAGAGGAGTTAAACTCCCTGATGCATAAGAATTAAAGTGGTGAGGGCGAAAATAAGAAGGAATATTTCCTTCAAATTAGAAGCTTCATAATGATTCAAAAAAACCTCAAGCAGTCCGTTACCTCATTAGCCAGTAACATATTGGCTGAGGGCTAATAGCACACATTAGACATTGAGAGTTTAACTTAATTCATTGATTAAGTAATATTTAATACGCTACTGAGTCCTCAAATGCCACTTCCTCAAAATAGAGATGAGTTCATGCAAACTTGTAGGTTAACATATTTACAAGAATATGTGTATGCTTAATATCAAAATTAAGCAAAGAAAGCTAATGAAACTCTTTTTTCTGACTCTTAAAGTCAAAGATCCTCCATTCTATCAGGAAGATCGTCATTGAAAATGCCTTTTTATTCGTAATTTACGAGGTAACCAATCTTTTTAATAATAATAGATTTTTATAGAAAACTGAGTGATTTTTTCTCGAATGAGTAAGATGCCATCTAAAAAAGCATTACTAGGCCTGAAAATGAAAACATCCTTAGGAGACTCTACTACTTAAGATGGTACTAATGTGATCCGATCGTCAGAGATTAGAAAAAGAGGAATATTGGGATCAGTAATACCTCAGAACTGATTAGGAAAAATAGTCCTTGCGAAATCTTACTCCTAATCTTCGAAGCTATTTATGATGCACTTACACAATAATGCTAATTTTTGTCTTAGATCATTAAAAATGATTTTAGCCACTAATAAAATCCAATTCAGCTACTCGAGTTCTATAATTAATCGGTAAAAATATTGTTTTTTATTTATTTAGTGGAAAACATACTCTGAGAGTTTATAAAAACTAGATGAAGAATTCTAATCACTTAATTAAATTGTAAACGATCTTTACAATACAATAGAAAAGAATGACGACAAAGAAGATTATCAATTTTCGATCCTAAAGATGGGATGCATTGTATGGAAACACATCGTTTAAAAAACAAATAGAAAATAAATGCTCAAATCTGTAAAAGTTATTTTTAAGTCAATACGCAAGGACTTAAAAAATAAAATGATGAAAAATAGCCTCCAAAAGAAAAGTTCATCTCAAGATTCAGACAAGAATGATTCAAAAATAGATGATCAGCAATCCCCAATGACAAATAGATTAAGCATAGTAGGTATGGGCCATTTAAAGATAAAAGTCGATAAATTAGAATAGATTAGACAAGCTTTATAGGAATTCTCTTCCTCTCTCCTAGATATCTCATTTAGTCCTACCAGTGTCTACTATTTAGCATCAACATAATTTATTACAGAAGATACTCCTTACTAGAAACTTCATGATGTCCTACTCAAAGAGAGCAAGGATTTTACTCTTGATGAACTAATTCTAAACAAAAATCTTCATGAGAACCTTAAAATATTGTTTTCTGAATTAGAAAAGATGCTCCCTCCTTTTTCATATAAATCAATCTAAAAGTCACTAATTGAGATGTGTTTAAACTCAACAAAAGAAAAAATCAATCGTAATCATTAAGAAATTACCAAAGAATTAAAGAAAAGAGGAGCTAATATCCCTGCTTATTCTAAGAAGGATGATGAATCTTGCTATTTTAAGGGAGCAGTTGAAAAATATATTAAGGGGAAATAAATACCGTTAATAGTCTAATAATAGTTAGTTAACATTATTAGCAAAGATGAGTAATCTACATTCAATCTCATCTTTTTTGAATATATGAAAAGTAAAAAGGTCTTCTCAGCTATTGATGAGAAAGTTATTAAATATGCTAAACACCATAGAGTCAGATATGATTAAAATGACTGCTCATTGAGTAAAAAGAAGTATAGATTCTCTGAAATTTAGGAGGATGTAGGTAAATTATTGATATCTCGTCATAGAACAAGTCTTGGAAATGTTAATCTATAAAATATAAATTAGGATTTCGTTCACAATTAAAGAAATGGGAGATCCTCTCTTGTACCTTTTAGAATGACCTTTAATTCTATAGTAGATAACTCAGAGGCTTAGAGAAGAAGTGAATTGTTTAAAGATTTAAATCAGTTAGACAAATCATCAAATGTATTTCAAGGTTGCAATATTAACTATGGGAAAATGCTTGGGTTTTTTTAAGGTGGTCTTGAAATGTAAAAGAATTCACTAAACCAATAACATGATTAGCTACCTAGCTTTAACAAGCCTTAGTCAAATCATTTCCTTATCAATTCAGAGGCCAAGAGGTCTATGAAAATATAGGGATCTAAAGATGGCATTGACTAAGATAATAATGAGGTTAGTAATAAACAGAGATCTAGTAGTTTACCTCCCAACCCTAATATGAAATAAACATCAAACGAATACTACCAAGTATGTGATGTTTACACCAAAGAAATAGAAGATGATAGCTAATTTAGCGCTGGTCTTACCAGACTAAGCATAGGGATTAATACTTAGAGTAGCAACAAAGATGAAACTGGTTCCAATTTCGATTAATTCACAAGATAACTAAATACTTCTGGGTAATTCGGAACTTACTTTTCAACTCCATTTAAGACTCAGAATGTTCAAACTTAATTTAACAAATCCTCTAATCTCGACTAAGATGAAAGCAGAGAGGACAATAACTCTTGCAATCTTCTTGATGTTGATAATTAAGACTAGCTTAACAATAATTTAAGAATAAAAAAAGAGTGAAAATGTAGAGGTGCAATAATATAAAAATGAAGTATAGACTTTTGAAGTCTCCTAAATACTTCGATTCTTTTGTAATCAGTAATTAAGTGTTTATTCTAACTTGATCACACTATATATATATACATGTTTTTAATTTGAAATAAGTTATTTGCTTTCTTAATATCTTTTATAATCATTATGTTATCTGTTGGGGTTTTGGGGTTTTGGGGTTTTGGGG